TCTTCTTGCCAATAGCAATCCCCTCTGTGATGTTGGATGCTCCTCACATGCTGAGTTTCCAGCCTTTTCTGAAACTCAGTAGCTGGGGAGAGGGCAAAGGAGGCACCTGGGCCTTCCAGCCTCCTTCCCCACCTCCTTCCCAAACTTTCCTCTTGGGAACTCCTCAGGGACAACTACTGCTGAGTTTGGGCACACCCCCAGGATGAAAGCCAGGTAGCAATTGCCTGGCCTCAGAGAGAGGTGTGTGTGTGTGTGTGTTTGTGTGTGTGTGTGAGAGAGAGAGAGGATGCTGTGATTGTGACCCTGTGATGTTTTATAGAATCCATTCAGTTTTCCCAAGTGTCTATTTTATTTCCACCTTTTCCTTTGTTTCAAACCATCACTTTTTTGTCTTTGGGAAACCACAGGAACAATTCTGGGGACAAGGCTGTGTTTCTCTTCTGGTCCTTCCTCATCCAGCCTCTTCAAACTGTGCAATCTTTCAGCAGGAATACCCTTCTTTCCTCTCAGTAGCTTTGAATCTAAAGCTTTTGTAGGGAGAGGGGTAGAACTGGATCTTTTCCTAATCCCATGAGCTCCTGTGGGTTCAGTTGTGCTTTCCTTCCCTTGTCTTCTTCATACTCCAAGGCCCCTTCCCCAGCAGAGAGACTCTGGAGCAGAGGAGGGGTTTTGGGTCTACCACTGCCCTGCATGTAATTTTGCCCAAATTAAGCCCCCACATGAGAGGAAAGCTGCTAACTCCCAGCTATAGCCATGGGCTCTTGGCCCCCTGCTTTCCTGCTCAGCCCAGCCCCTCCCATCAGAGATTACGGGTACTTGCACTGGGGAGGTGGCTGCTGGCTTCCCAAGCAGAGAGCTGAGGCACCCAAGGAGTGTTCCCGGTGGCAGGAGTGTGGCAGGTAGGGTGGAGCATTCCTTGTATTTTGGCAGCACTGAAGAGCCACTGAAGGGGGTGGGGGCAGTGTAGGTTTTGGGGCAGCCCCTTTTTTATTCTTTTATGCCCCTTCTCCCCCGTAGCCTCTTTCTAAAGTCGCCTTTTCTGTCAGATGAACCTCAAAACTTTTAATTTTATTTAGAGAATTTTTTTTTTTTTTGCTTTTAAATAAGAGGTGGATTGAAGAATATTTGAATTGACTTTATATTATGCATAAAATATTTATATTTTATCTAAATAACTGCTCTGTAACAAACTTTGTGTTAGTCACATGGTTGAAACTGTTATAGTTGGGGCTCCTCTTCTTCCCCTTGGCAGTTTTTCCCTGGTATAAAATATGCTAGATAAACTTCACTGTTGGAGGTGAGATGGCTGGCGGAGTGACATCTCGATTGTCCTGCTCTGTGTTCCTCTCCCAGCTCCATCTCATTTAGGGACCAGGCACTCTTGGGGTGGGATCCCACCCTCAGTTTGAAGAAATGGGAGCTGAAAGGGGGTAGGCATGATTGAAGGAGTGGGCCATTTCTTTTCTTCCCTCATCTTCACTGCCCCCTGGCTGGGTGGATTTTCTCTTCATGATAAGAGTATTTGGTAGGGAAGGCAGGTTAAAAATAAAAAGACAACTCACCCTGGCCCCTTTGTTCCCCTTTCCCCTATCAGTCTGGTAACAGGAAGAAACACACCATCAATACCGAGTTTCCACGTTCCTTTTACAACAAAAGGGACTGACTTTTTATATAACCAAATGTGGTGTTTTAGTGACTTTTTGATAATGTACAGTTTTTTGTGAATTTAAATTTATTTCTTTCTATATTTTTAGGACCAATCTCATTTTTAATAAGGTTAAAAAAAGGAAAAAAAAAGTCTAGAGAGAAAAAAACTCCTGTTTTTGCCATGTGATGTTCCACAAGTGCAGCTGTAGAAAAGTGCTTGTCAGTTGAATAAAAACCACATTTGATAGAGATTCAAAAGACTCTGTGTATTTATCCTCCCTTCAAGATAGGCTCTCAGAGCTGGCCTCAGGGGAGACTGTGTTGGGATGGGCATGTGTGACTGGCCTGGTGTGAGAGGTGGCAGGCAGGGGGACAGTGTGTCCCAAAACTTATAAATTTTATCCAAGAACCTCCCTGTTTGGTCTTTTCTAGATGGACGAGACCTCCAGGAGGCAGATTTGTTCCACACTTTATGTGGATGCAACAGGTTCTTGTGTTTCAGCCTGAAAGTCTGGGTGAGGTGCTAGAACAAAAGTGGCACTGGCTCCTGCCTTCTTGTGAGACATGGCTACCACCTGTGTTTTGGTAGCAAATGTGGGCCCATCACCATCCTTCACCCAGGAATAAGACACCCAAGACATAGACATTTATGTTTTATTTCCAAACAAAAAAAAGTTGATGATAAAAATGGAGCTCTACCAAATTGTTGGGAAGGAACACAGGAAGACCAGGGATCAGAAAAGGAAGAATAAGCTAGAAGGTGGCACTGGCATAGAGGTGGGAAGGAGTCTCTTTGAGAAAACATGAATAAAATGTGTTTTGAGTATAAACTTACTCTCTGTCCAACGTGACAAGTGCATGCAGAATATTCACCCACCCACAAAGACCAAAAGAGTTATGAGTTCTGACAATGGAGACAGTAATAATGAGGTGGGGACTTTCTTCACTCTGGCTGGAAAAGTCTTTACCCTTCAGGGTAGAAGCCTTGTATTGGTGAACTCAACTGGATGTTAAGGTAGAGAAGGAACCTCTGCTTCCAGCACTCCAACAGTCTCAAGCACCCTTGTGGTACTGGGTTACCTTCTCACCTACATGGTGGTCAAGGACCAACTCTCATTTTCTTAATTTCTAAGATCTGCTCCACCATGTTGTTTCCCTTGGAGTGACTCCCGACCATCAGATGTTATCCTAGGCAGTCCATTAAACAGCCTGCCCTCCTGGCCTACCACAGTAGGACCTATCAGGAGAGTTCACATTATTTTAGGGTGATAAAAGTAAGCTACAAATCCCAAAGAAAACATTCCAGAAATAGAAATGTCCAGGCAGAATTTTTGCATTTGATTATGGGCCTTTTCCAGCCCCCAGCTTCCTAACCCTCATAAAGGGACAGCAGAGAACAATGTAAACCAGGTGTTTTATGCCCTTGTTGAAATCGTGAGACTGTGAGGTAGTTGTATAACAAGGACAAGGAAGTATGAGTTTCTGCTTAGAGAAGGAAGGTTTATTCAGAACAGAAGCAGACAAGTCAGGGACAGAGAGCAGTGGTAAACTGGAGTGATGAAGACAGCCACTTTCTCATTGTTAGAGTCATGTGGGACCATCCCTAGGGAGATGCAACAAAATTCAGCAAGGAGCAGAAGGGAGGTAGAGCTCACAGGCTGCTTTTGGCTGCAGAAGACAATGCCTATGGAAGGGAGAAGTAAAAGCTGAAGAAATTTTCAGGAATCTGCTAATTTCTGGAAGTATCTAAAGTGCAGGTAGCGCAGAAAGACTAGGTGGCTTAAAGGGGAATCAGGAAGAACTGGTATAATAAGGCACAAGATTTAGGGCTTACCCCTTATAGACTGACTTTATAACACCCACCCTCTTCGAAGCCTGCTGATTCAGGTCTAGAGAGCCTGGGGGCAAGTTTGGATGTGATCGCCCATCCAAGTTTATTGCCCTGGGCTAAGAATGCCAGGTGGCCCCCTCCTGAGTGCAATGCTACCACTTTCCCAGAAGATGGGGCTGTGCACAAGAGCGCATTGATGTATTTTAGAAGTCTGGTAGCCATCACC